GTGAGAGAGTGTGTGTGTGTGTGTGTTTGTGTGTGTGAGAGAGAGTGTTTGTGTGTGTGTGTGTGAGAGAGTGTTTGTGTGCGCGTGTGTGTGAGAGAGTGTTTGTGAGTGTGAGAGAGTGTTTGTGTGTGTGAGAGAGTGTGAGAGAGTGTTTGTGTGTGTGTGTGAGAGAGTGTTTGTGTGTGTGTGTGTGTGTGTGAGAGAGAGTGTGTGTGTGTGTGTGTGTGAGAGAGTGTGTGTGTGTGTGTGAGAGAGAGTGTTTGTGTGTGTGTGTGTGTGTGTGAGAGAGAGTGTGTGTGTGTGTGTGTGTGAGAGAGTGTGTGTGTGTGTGTGAGAGAGAGTGTTTGTGTGTGTGTGTGTGTGTGTGAGAGAGAGTGTGTGTGTGTGTGTGTGTGAGAGAGTGTGTGTGTGTGTGTGAGAGAGAGTGTTTGTGTGTGTGTGTGTGTGTGTGAGAGAGAGTGTGTGTGTGTGTGTGTGTGAGAGAGTGTGTGTGTGTGTGTGAGAGAGAGTGTTTGTGTGTGTGTGTGTGTGTGTGAGAGAGAGTGTGTGTGTGTGTGTGTGTGTGTGTGTGAGTGAGTGAGTTTGTGAGTGTGTTTGTGAGAGTGTGTGTGTTTGCATGTGCGAGTGTAAAAAAACATTACGCCTATGGAGAGTCCCATAAACAATAAAAACCATCGTGTGTGTGTGTGTGTGTGTGTGTGTGTGTGAGTGAGTGAGTTTGTGAGTGTGTTTGTGAGAGTGTGTGTGTTTGCATGTGCGAGTGTAAAAAAACATTACGCCTATGGAGAGTCCCATAAACAATAAAAACCATCGTGTGTGTGTGTGTGTGTGTGTGTGTGTGTGAGTGAGTGAGTTTGTGAGTGTGTTTGTGAGAGTGTGTGTGTTTGCATGTGCGAGTGTAAAAAAACATTACGCCTATGGAGAGTCCCATAAACAATAAAAACCATCGTGTGTGTGTGTGTGTGTGTGTGTGTGTGTGCTGCAGGTACGAGTGGCAGGGGAAGATCGAGGAGGACAGTGAAGTTCTTCTGGTCAGTTTCAGCTCTTTCTCTGCTCTATTTCTCCATTGTTATTTATTTATCATGTTTTATTATTCAGCCTCAAAAAAATCAAATGACGCTGCATCGGGCTGGGCGATATAGCTAAAAAATGTATCAACGATATAATGTTTCATATTGTTCGCTATCAATATTTTTTATAACCTTTTTTAAAACAAAGAGCGATAGAAAATTTTAACCACTGTATTTTTAAATTAACCCAGTTTATTGAGACAAACAACAAATATATTTTTTGTTTTAACAGTCACACAACACACAATAAAAATTAAACAAATATCTAATTTCTAATGTTTTATGCAGATTAAATAAGTCTTAAGGAAACTTTTGTCTTGTCTCCCGAGGGCGCAATGAGCAAAATAATGCAGCACATAATGTCAACGCAGGGAAATAACTGTCTATAAAAAAACATGCATTTCGTCTAATTTAACTCATATAAATCAAATATAATTTCGTAAATTGCATAAACAATTATGAACAAAACAGCATCATGTATTTATGCATTGCTTAATCGAAAGAGCCGAAGCACCGATCACACAGACTGCATTTAAAAACATGAGACGCAGTGAAAAGGAATAAACCTCCACAAGTTCGTGACGTGTTTTCTAAAAGTTTAAACTGTTTTAACTGTGCATGTCTACTTCTCTTGTGTGAGACACGAGTGCAGCAGTCGTATTTGTCCATCTAAAAATGCGCTGAATATGCATCTGTGTGAATGGCTTGGTTTCGGTTTTAACCTAATCAATATCTTCTCCGCACTGAGCTTCTATATTTCTCTAATATTTTGAATGAATAAGGGAGACATACAGAATGTGCAGATCTGTTTCTGCAATCAGGACCTACATTTAAAGACATTTGTCTCACTAGACAACCTTCAGAAAACATAATGCACACAAATGAGAAGAATCCTGTTCATTTAGAGATGTTAAATATATGATAACACAACAATGGTGGAAAATTGCGTTCATTTATATGTATTCATCTACACTAATGTGCTTTTCAGAGCTTGAATCATGGTGTGATAAATGCATACAAACAAGTGTTTTTACATGTTTTTTTCCAGATGATTAAGACGAGAAGTTCAAAGATCCCTGCTCTTGCTGAATATGTCCGGTATCAGCTACAAAAACACACTCTGCTTCTCTTTGAAGAATTGCTCTGCTACATGCAGAAGCTAAATAATCGCAGTCTATCCAGTGAAACTCCTCATCATTTCTGCAGCTGTGTTTGGTTCTGACACGCTTCGGCTTTCATCTGAACACACAGCAGTGTTGAGTGAGTAAAGGTGAGTGTGTTGTTTGTTCTGCAGGTCGAATCATCCGTATGAAGTGGCCGAGGTCATCAGTTTACCCATCGATCAGGGAAACCCGCCGTATCTCAAGTGGATCGGAGACACCGTGCCCGAGTGAAGCGGCGTCAAAATACAGGAATACTGCATCGCAGATTTTGTTTTCATCGTTTGAGTTCTGTTTCTCTCCAACATAAAATGTACTGTGCAACTGCAGTGACTATTACAGATTTTGTTACAAACTTAAAAGTTTGATTTGATCTGCATTAAAAGGTTGCAATCAGCAAAATGCATTTGTTTGCGTCTCATTTACCTTTTATCTTTTTTACAGAGTGTGGTTTGTTCTGGGTGTTCGGTTTGAGTCAAAGGAAGTCTTTTGTTTAGCTCACTGAAAATAACACAGTAGTGACTTACTGCAAAATAAACCCTGATGCATGGTCCCACTTTAAACACGGGTACTTACCAAATCAATAAACGGAGATGAATTATTGATTGGGAGTGTAAATGATTTTATTCTGTGAGCAGAAAGAGTGTGGTCATATGAGAGACAGCGATGGAGGAAATGATCAGACTGTGTCAATGGTCAGTTATACAGTCTAAAGTCATTATATACAAGTAACCGAGTCACTCACAGGCCAGCCCTCCAGAAGAGCAACTATCAACAATAGCTTTTCATCTCATCTAGCGCATCCATGTGAGGAGAAGAGCAGCACTGGGTTCCCTTTGAGCCCTCAAATGTCAGTGAACACAAACACACACACTCTCTCTCTCTCTCTCTCTCTCTCACACAAACACACACACACACACACTCTCTCTCTCTCTCTCTCTCTCACACACAAACACACACACACACACACACACTCTCACACAAACACACTCTCACACAAACACACACACACTCTCACACACAAACTCTCACACAAACACACACACACACTCTCTCTCTCTCTCACACACAAACACACACACACACACACACTCTCTCTCTCTCTCTCTCTCTCTCACACACACACACACACTCTCTCTCTCACACACAAACACACACACTCTCACACACATACTCACACACTCACTCACACACACTGTCCTCTGTCAGAGACACACACACTCTCTCTCTCTCTCACACACAAACACACACACTCTCACACACAAACACACACATACTCACACACTCACTCACACACACACACTGTCCTCTGTCAGAGAAATATGTTGATCTGTTCACAGGATCTCAAACCTGATCATCAGGAAATCTTCCAACACTGTTCTTGACAAACAGATTCACTAGCTACATTTACATGCTCTCAATAATCCGTTTATCGGACTGAAACACATTAAACGCCACAAATGACTCGACTGAGCTTGATCTGATCTGATTAAAAGGGCTGCTGTACACCTGAAACAATCCCAAAACAGGAAAAAAATAAAAATTCTTAATTAGATTCAGAAATACCTTGCACGGTGCACAGATGCATGCTTGCACATGTTTTATGTCTTATGAACTGTGGCGGAGACTGAATATTTACTAAATATTTGAAAAAAAAAAATCAAGGCAAAACCAACAGTTAAACTCGAGGTAGCTGCAGTCACATTATCGCAGAGATTTCTCTGGTTCTGAACGCATCGACTGTTGCACTGCATGCACTGGAGCTTTGTTCAGAATGCATGTAATGCACATGTAAATGAATATATGAATCAGATTGCAGTGCTTAGGGTTTCAGAATCTGAAATCAGATTGGATTCATTCGGATTGTGGAAATTAGTGCATGTAAACATACTGATGTTTTCAGTACATGCACCCTCATAATGCAACTATCATGAGATTGAGGCAATATTGCTCATGTAAACACGTTACTGCATTGGGATATGTCAATAATATGGTATATTTTTAATACATATAGTACATTTTTATAGCATGGAATGTATGAATGAAATCTAGGTTTCGGGCCTTTATCATTTGTACTGCTCAGTTTCACTTCAGCAATTCAATGACATAAAGAAAACAATAAACACAAAACTGCACCAGTCACCAAACGGTCCGATATTCAGCTGCTTAGGTGGTTGCTAAGGAATTGCTATTTGGTTGTCTATGTGTTTAGGTGGTTGCTAGGGAGTTGCTATGTGGTTGTTTATGTGTTCAGGTGGTTGCTAAGGAATTGCTATGCGGTTGTCTAGGTGTTCAGGTGGTGGTTGCTATGTAGCTGTTTAGGTGTTCATGTGGTTTCTAAGGAATTGCTATTTGGTTGTCTATGTGTTTAGGTGGTTGCTAGGCAGTTGCTATGTGGTTGTTTACGTGTTCAGGTGGTTGCTAAGGAATTGCTATGCGGTTGTCTAGGTGTTCAGGTGGTTGCTATGTAGCTGTTTAGGTGTTCATGCGGTTTCTAAGGAATTGCTATTTGGTTGTCTATGTGTTTAGGTGGTTGCTAGGGAGTTGCTATGTGGTTGTTTACGTGTTCAGGTGGTTGCTAAGGAATTGCTATGCGGTTGTCTAGGTGTTCAGGTGGTGGTTGCTATGTAGTTGTTTAGGTGTTCATGTGGTTACTAAAGAGTTGCTATGTGGTTGTCTATGTGTTTAGGTGGTTGCTAGGGAGTTGCAATGTTGTTGTTTACGTGTTTAGGTGGTTCCTAAGGAATTGCTATGCGGTTGTCTAGGTGTTCAGGTGGTGGTTGCTATGTAGTTGTTTAGGTGTTCATGTGGTTACTAAAGAGTTGCTATGTGGTTGTCTATGTGTTTAGGTGGTTGCTAGGGAGTTGCTATGTGGTTGTTTACGTGTTCAGGTGGTTGCTAAGGAATTGTTATGTGGTTGTCTAGGTGTTCAGGTGGTTGCTATGTAGCTGTTTAGGTGTTCATGCGGTTACTAAGGAATTGCTATTTGGTTGTCTATGTGTTTAGGTGGTTGCTAGGGAGTTGCTATGTGGTTGTTTACGTGTTCAGGTGGTTGCTATGTGGTTGTTTACGTGTTCAGGTGGTTGCTAGGGAGTTGCTACGGGGTTGTTTACGTAATCAGGTGGTTGCTAGGGAGTTGATATGTGATTTGGTTACTCACTGGTTATACAGGTTTGAAAGTAATTTATAAAACAAAATTGCTAATGTAATTGTTAGAGGATCTATACAGGCATCTCGACTTTGTTGTTTCTACCAATAAAGTCTGATTTTGGCGTCTGGAACTTCTTGACTCGAGATTCTTATGCAAAAGAGAGAAAAAAATGGCAGTAAAAATAAGCACACTTCTTAGTGAACAATCAGAATAATGACAGGAGTGAAGAGGTTTGCTTGTGTGATGTAAACCTCGATTAAGTCCTAACTCTGATGGAAATCACATTACTGGTGCACATGCAAACACAATCAGTTTCATCACAGATGGACATACAAATAAAGAACAGGAGCAAAGGTCGTGTTTTCTGATTGGTCACAGTTGGCAGTGTTAAATGGATGGTGCATTTAATAGTCATAAATGAACATTCACATTTCACATTACAAGCAGCTGATCTCCAGGACCGAGCGTTTGTCGTCACTGTTCTCCGGCAGGTGTTTGTGTGTCCGCCGCGCTCCATTACGGACAGCTGCGGGGTCAGAGGTCGCTTCACGCCGCTCATCCATTCCCCCCGCAGCGCCGTCCTCGTGACGCCCGTTCCGGAGTTTCGTCATCTCTCGGTCTGCGTTGTGTTCTTCTACTTCGCTCACCTTCAGATGTTCCCTTCGAATCTCTTCTAGCGGTAACGCAACCATTCCCGTCCCCTGCGGCTGATCCCGGTTTTCCACGCGCCTGGAGGACCTGCACAAGGCTTTCCGGAAACCTCTTTTAAAGTTATCCGACAGAAAGCCGTACAGAATGGGATTCGCGCAACTGTTGGCGTACGAAAGAACCACGACGAAGTAATACAGCCCTCTGAACTCTCCCGGCAGGAGAACCAGCAGATTCACGATGTTTAAGACGTAAAACGGCAGCCAGCAGAAGACGAACACGGCCACGACGATCACCACCATTCGCGTGATCTTGCGCTCGGATTTCCGGCGGCGGATCGACGTGGCGCGGACTCTTCGTCCAGAGCTGCGCACTTTAACCACGATCAGCAGGTAGCAGAGACAGATGACCGTCAGAGGACCGAAGAACCCAACAGTCGCGGTATACACGATGAACGCCGCTTTCCAAACCTCCGCCGGCTCGGGCCACACGATGCTGCAGTTCCCGTCGTCCTGCAGAACTCCAGCGAACACAACCACAGGCAAAACCACCACAAAAGAAACGCCCCATACGGTGGCGTTCACCGTTTTGGCCACACGCGGTTGGCGCCACCTAGAGCACTGGAGAGGATGCACCACAGCCAGATAGCGGTCGATGCTCATCACCGTCAGACAGAAGATGCTGGTGAACTGGTTAATGGCGTCTACGGTCATGACCAGGCGACACATGAGCGATCCGAAGGGCCAGGAGAGCAGGCCGTTCTGAACGGCGAGGAACGGCAGGCCCAGCATGAAGAGCTCGTCTGCGATGGCCAGATTCAGGATGTAGATATTGGTCACCGATTCCGCCTGGGAATATCTCAGCACGATGTGGATGACCAGAGTGTTTCCGATCAGACCCACGACGCAGACGGCGATGTAGACGAGAGGGATGAGGATCCCGGCGACTCCCGGCGTGTAATCCGGAGTTCGGCCGCCGGTCCAGTTCTCCGTCGGAAACAGAAACGGAGGAGGGAAGGTTTGGTTGGGAATCACGGAGGAGGAGGAGGCATTAGTCCACACTGGAGCTCCTGCTGCGGAGGGAGGTGAAAGATCTCGATGTACCTCCATCGGTTTAAGAGAGATTGAGCCTTACAGCGATCAACTGCTGCCCATCTGATCTACGAGTGAGACAGAATACTGGTTACTCAATGGGTCTACACAGACAGACAGATTTAAAGAAATAATTAAACCCCAAAATTATCCTGGCAAAATGTGTGACTTTTCCATAAAGCTAGCATACAGTGACCATGTCTGTTAAACCAGACCCAAAACATCATCACAGTAGTGCATATAGACTAAAAAAACTGTACTTTCATTTTCGAAAGGCACGCCTTTTTACCTTATTAATCAATATTGCATATTACAGTTTGAAAGGATACTGACCCAGTGACATTTGTACCATTACCAAAAATTCACCAAGGTTTTATGATGGCATATAGGCGCCTGTATATTTTTTGATAGCATGCTTCATTAAGTGATATATACCAGTCTAATAGACTCTTGTTTCTGTCACAGAATAAAAACATTAAAAAGTAATATGTGACTTTTTATCTCACAATTCAGACTTTTCTCTCATATTTGCGATTACATGTTATAAACTCTTAACTGCGAGTTTCACAATTTTGAGTCTTTTACCCTCAGAAGTGAGTTTATATCTGACAATTCTCTTGAAATTCTGACAGTTCACGTTTCACAGTTGTTGTTGTTTTTTGTTTCCACCATATAATAAAATATAGGTACAAGGTTTTGTCTCACAGTTCTGACTTTATATTTCTCAATTCTGAGGAAAAAGTCTGAATTGTGCGATGTAAGCTCAGAACTGTGAGCAAAACTTCTGAAGTGTAGGATAAAAAGTCACAATTACCTTTATTTTTTTCATAGCTTCTATACCATTTACTTCAACTACAAAAATCAGCTTTTTACCCTAAAATGTACTAATAACCACCATAACAATACAGGTGTTAAATTAATTGTAAGTGTTAATAAAATATGGCCAGTACTCAGATAGTGTAGTGTCATACAGTATCAAAATGTAACACAAAAACTAATGTACATTCATGAAAATATAAAGAAACAAAACCATTTATATAAATAATAATCTTATGTGATGTACCATGCATATTTTCCAAAAAACATAAATTTGACAGAAAAATGGCATATAATGCAATGGATTTTGCAGTAACTTACAGCATTTTTGCAGTTTCTCTCTGTAAATTGTTGAAATTATGACAAACTAAGTTGAAATTATGACATACTAAGTCATAATTACGAGATAAACATACAAAACGACGACGGCAAAATTATGACAGCATGTAGAAATTATGAGATAAAAAGGCAAAAATTGACTATATCATAATTTTGAATTTTTGATTTTGAACTTAGTATGTCATAATTGTGACTTTATCGCATAATGACTTTTTGTCATAAGTTAAACTTTTTAAACTTAACTGACTTGTCAATTTCATCTTTTAAAGTCATAATTTTGACTTTTTTTTATCTCATAATCATGACTTTTTATTTCAAATTCGACGTTTTATCTCAATTTTGACTTATCTCATAATTTTGACTGTAATCATTTCAACTTAGTATGTTAATTACAACATTTAAATTGATAATTTTGACACTTTATTGCAGAATATGATCCAGCGTCAAAATTTTTATCTCATAATTATGACTTAATGTCAATTTATCATGTTTAAACTCAAATATTACTTAGTATGTCTATTTTAACTTTTGAAGTCATAATTTCGACATGTCATAATTACAGATGTTTCTGGAAGATATTGATCATAGGCCTCGCTGATCTGAACTTATGCACCTCAGTTTCTGAATGAACATTGCCAAAATTCACCACGATTAACGCATTAGGTAAAGGACTTTCAGCACAAGACTAGGTAAAGACTTATTGCGTGAACTGAATGGTGACTAATAATGAGGTTCTGCAGTCATTTAGAGTGGATGAGTAAATCATGATCAAGATCAGGAACATGCATTAGGAGAATAAATTGAGCCCACTTTGATTTCTTGCTGATTTTAGTGCCCAACTTACAGATGGATGTTTTAGAAACATCTCATGCATAAGGACCGGCGATTAATCATCCCTCCTGTGTGTTTTTGTGGATCTTTTATGCGTCAGTTTTTCTCTTTCTGCAGGTAAAAAGTCACCCAGCTTCACCTCTTCCATCCATTATGATCTAAACGCTCTTACAGTAATTTACTCTAGAGTTCTGTGCATTATTTTCTCTACTGACATTTACAACTAAAAGAGACGCAGAGAAGTTAAAGACCTCATCTGATGACGTGCATTAAAGGTGATTACTGCACACACACACACACACACTCACTCTCTCTCTCACACACACACACACACACACACAATAGAGAAAAACATCTAGTGTTTGTGTCCACAAAGAGACATCAGCAGCAGTAAACTATGCAAACACCTTCATCATCATCATCATCATCATCATCATCATGTGTGCATGAATGTGAATCTTGGTAAATAAGATTTATGGTGCAACACAAAGACCAGGATTTGCACACACACACACACACACACACACAGAGTTCAGTACAAGTGAAGGGAAGGGCATCTTGTCACCGTGGAAACGACCTGGTCAAAGACCATAAGACCATAAAAGACAAAAGAAGACGAACAAACACACACACACACACACACACACACGTTGAGAGTGAGATTAGACCTTTTCATTATCTGAGCACAATGACTGTCAGTGGAACAGCTCAAGACTAAAGAGACGAGACGCTTTACAGCGCGACGTTAGCGTAAATAACCTGGCAGCAGGTGTTTCCCAGATAGCATGGTGACATTGATACAGTGTTGAGTTTTGATCCAAACCATCATTTTGGTTGAGATTGACATTTCAATGTTTAGTGTATGTTGGATCAACACTGACATTTTGATGAAAATCGGCAGCACACATGGGTAAAGACAGTGAGATTGAGCTAACAGTGATTTGTAGTTGATGAGCACAAGATGATGCATGCATGTGTCTCTGCAGAACACTAGTGGCTGTGTCTCAATCAGTGGGGTGTGTCAAACCATGATGGGCATTTTCCATTGCTTTAGGCGATTTGCTCTAATCCACTGGGGGCTTGGGTTCAGGTAAACGCCCATTTTGGTTTTGCATGTGCACTTCTCAGTAGTCTACTGATGCTTCCTAATTAGAAAGAAAACACAGGTGCATCCTATACCGAAGTCTTGTTTGTTGAACCGCCTCACATGCATGACTCTGGGTTTCAAACAATGGTACATCTATCATAATATTTCTCTGTTCCTCTGTTTTTGCGTGCTTATTATTTGCATTTGATTTATTGTTACTGAATCTAATAGGATACATTAATTTAAAAACGTTAGTGTTTGAATAAACCATCCATTTTTGTACATTCTTAAAAAGTGCAGGCATTTTGCTTTAGTAATATTTATTAGGAATTTTCTGATTAAAGTTCAAACAATATTAAACAGATTTATTGTAGTGCAAGTGACATGAACGTTGACATGGCTCACATATTGCATCTATTACTCAATGCTGGCAGATTCTGAAAAAGGTGAAAAAGATTTCCCCAAACTTCGAAATGGTCAGAAATATTAAGGTTGTTTCAGCATTAACTCGACAGCACTATTTTATGTTAACATTTCAATTGTATTTCAAGTGTTTTATCAAAAGTGATTTAAAACCAGCATCACATTAGCATTGATCGAACGATATTACCAATTATATTTTATATTAATCTCAATATTGATTCAACAGCAGTGATATAGCATCAACATCAGAGTGTAATGTTGATTTACTGACATTGATTATGTTTGTTCATTTCAATGTTAATTCTACAGCATTCTATCATAGTGTAACATTGATTCAATGGATTTATTTTTATTGTTTGGTTGAAATCTCACCATTGTTTCAGCATTAATTGCGGGCGCCAAAGTGTTATTGAACCAACATCTCTTCATAACATCGATTCAGTGACATTTTCATTGTTTAAAAAAAAAATCTCATCAGTTTCAGCCTTAATTGTGGATGCAAAAGTGATATTATTCCAACACCCCTTTGTAACATTAATTCAATGCAGCTATTAATAATTGAAATGATATTAATAATGACATTATTTCAATGCGTGTTAAAAGTCAACATTAGTTTTAATTTATGTTTCTGCTCTTATTGATGGTGATTCATCAGTCATAACGTCATTCTGAAGAAATAAATGCCTTTCGAATCATCCCCTCGGGCTTTGCTTCAGCTGACGTCATCGATCGCTCTTATTGATCAACCGGCTTCATTTAAAGAGACTTTTACTATCAGCTCATCATGGAGAAAATCAACTACCATCCTTTATTCTCATTTAACATCTTGAGTGACTCAGAAATAAGTCATAAGTTACAGAAGAAAAATGACCCTGTCACGTTAAAGGCACAGTTCACCCCAAAATGAGCATTTTGTCAGCATTTACTCATCTTCATGTTGTTTCAAACCTGTCTGAGTTCTGTGTTGAACACAAAACTTATTTTGAAGAGTGTTGGTAAGTTGCTGGTCACCTTATGCAAAGAGAATATACTGTATAGATGTGCATGTGTATAAATATATTGAACATATATTTAGCTACTCGTGCAGTATATATACACACATATATGGAAATATATATTTCTTATGTTTAACAATTATTTATATATAGTATACACGTTTCATATTTTAAAACATACCTTGTTTACAATAGCATGTGCACACCTGATCATACTAAAGCATGAAAAGCACATACTTTTGTCTTCATTTCTAAATATATTTGTATTTATCAATATTGAGCCATACATTGTCAATGCATATATATTGCTGTATATTGCGAAATGCATGCACTGCTTTCCTATTTATGGAAATGTAGTATGTAATATATCACATTATATACCCATATATGTTTGTTACACAAGGGTCCCCATTGATTTTCATTGTTTTTTGCCCCGTGTTATGTCATTCAATGGCTACCTGCAACTGTTTGGTTACCAACATTCTTCAAAATATCCTCTTTTGTGTTTAACAGCTGAAAGAAACGTGAGGGTGAGTAGATGATGAACTATCCGTTTAACTTTAAAGTGATGAATGAATGTGTGGATATGTTTGTAATAATGAAAAAAGGCAGCAACACACTTTCTGCTGTTGAACTGAACGGAGTTTGAGAGCCGATGAAGGATCAACAGGAGCCAGAGCGTCAGAGGTTAAAGCTTTATTGCTTTATTGTTCCTCCTCCATCGCTCAAAGTGAATCGAGCGGCTGCAGTGTGAACAGCTGTGCAGGTTAATGTGGATTAATGGCACCTCTGGGAACAAAAGCTCCAGCCGTTCTGATCTCAGTCAGTCTGCTGCCATTGAAAAAGCCTTTCACCAGAATCCATCACAAACAGCTGAAATGCCAGCGCGTTCAG